TTTTAAATTATAATTAGATATTAAAAAATTAATATTAAAAAGGTAAAAATCATTCTAAATATAAAACGAATTTATGTTGATGATGCTATAAATTTTTGTCAATTTCATATACATAAGATACTTGTTAATAATTTTTTTTATTCTTTTAAATTGAGACCAAACCGACATTGCTTATGAATTATGGACGAAATAATTAAGTATGCTAGATTTTAAAAGTGAAAATACTAGTCTTTAGAGATAAATGAAGAAATACAATTTATATATGAACTATATATGGAATGTTTTGCCTTTTATTTAGTTATCAAATTAAAAAAAAAAAAAAAAAAAAAAGCAAGCTTGAATGGGTTTTGGGCCAGGCCTGGACCATATATCATCAAGAGAAATAAACAATTCCTCAACTTCATCAATAAATTAATTTGTACTTAAAATTGTAATAACTAAATAAATTTAATTTATTAACCAAAATAAACAAACATTGTAAACCTTTATTAATAGACATTATTTTATATTTAAAAAAATAGTTAAAATTAATTTTTATATATAATATATTATCTATTTTAAAGTTTTAGTGTATTATAATTTTGATAGATTAAAAAATATATATAAATTATCTTTTATCTTATTTTAAGCGACGTGGAGGCTTACGAAAACAAGTTTTTTATGTGTTTCTAATTGGGAAGTTCTAAAACCAAAGTGAAGAAGGGAACGCAATAAAAAAAACCACGATTCTATCATCTTTTTTGAAAGTTGAAGGCCATGTTTATGCCGTTATAATTTATTTTTAAAATATTTTGTTAATGTGAGAAAAAGCTTCATTGGTCGTGCTGAAACTCATCTAGTATTAAAAGTTTGCACTTTTCTTCTGTCACTTAAAACGCTGAAACTCCTCAAGAGTTAGTGCTTCTTAGCTTTAAGAATCCAATAAAACACTTCTTTTGAAAAATGCTTTTTGTCAACTTATTATATTGTTAATATAAACTCTCTTAATTTTACTTTTAAATGTATATAATTATAAATAGATGAAAAAAAAAGATAGATTAATAAAGTAATGATAATAATAATAATAATAATAAAAACAACTATACAGAAAACCACCATTATATGGTCAATGATTATTTACTCACCAAACGTTCTTGATGACCATTAGCTATTTTAGGGTTCCACAACGCATAATCTCTTCATTACTGCATGCTTTTTGTTTGACAATATGTATGTGATTCACCCTTTCAATGAAGTAATAATAGGTTTTTTATTATATATATATATATATATATATATATATATATATATATATTATTTTATTTTATTTTATTTTTGAAATTTCACATGTTATTTGGTATAGTTTAAATATATTTTAAGCTATTCCACATATTACTAATTGATTTTATGTTGAAACCTTAATTGCCCTAAAGAACAACAAGTTGGCGCATTAAAAAAAAAAAATTAGAAAACAATATATACAGCCGACCGCTCTACCAATGAGCTACTGAGAAACAACGAGAAATTCGATCTCATAGAATTTCATTCCCGTTCTCAACTCATGACCAATAGGAACTCGAAGTTTCCTTTGTAACTCGTAAAATTTCTTCACATGGGCTCCCTTAATATTTTAATATTTAAAAAGTTTCTTTTAATTTGTGAGAGATCCGATTATGAGTAATTAAATGGTAAAAATAAAAATTTGCAAGCCTATTCCTAAAAGACCTAACGACAAATTTTCCTGAATATTTATTTGACACAATTATTATTAAACTTAAGATCATTCAAAACTCCTATTGATGGTGATCATTCTTTGAAAGCAACGCCAATAATTAAAAAAATAGAAGGAAAAGTTGGATACACATGCATGCATGTTGTGCTTCACCTTCCAAAATGGTGCAGTGGTTATTGAAAATGATCCAATGTTGCAGAAACCTGCAATTGCCAACCTGGGGGTCTGAACTTCAATCTGGCACTTTCTGGATTCATCTTTAGCATCTCTGCAAGTTTATGGAATCCACATTACTTTCCAATTCATCCATCTTCATCATCTCTTAACAATCGAAACTGTCACCAGTCACGAAAGATATATGAACTTAAGAAAGGCTGCATAGATTCAGAAATTTCAAACCAGTTGGAGTAAAATACATTAAATAAAGAATAAAGTTAATAAAAGATTTTTAACGAAAGAAATTTCTAATAAAGTAAATAAATGTGAGTATTTATTTATATATAATTAAAATATAAATTTTATCATACAAATTAGTTTTCAAAGATTTGATAAAAAAATTCTTTTAAAGTAGGACATAATGAAATCATTATATTATAAAATTAACTTAATATTATACAAATTATACTTAATTATATATTATTGTATATTTAAATTAAACCTATAACTGATGATAAATAACAAATGTGGTTAACATAAACCACTTATATTTTGTCCTTACCTAAGTTGTATTGGAGAATGGGGTTCAATCATTGATAAGTTTTTGGACTATCTTTCCTTTTTTTTTTTCTTCTTTAAAACTTTTATTTTTATTTAGTGAGTAACTCGCAGTTTTTTGGAAGTATTCAGAAAAAGGAAAAACATTAGATTTCATATAAAAATTATGGGATCTTGAAGCTTATGGTTTTGTAATGAGATGTGTGTGCACGGCATTGACAATGCTAGGAAAAGATAGAAAACAAATGACAAAAAAAAATAATGATCTCTTTTATATAGGTGTAGAAATAAATAAATAAAAAACAAAAGAAAGGAAGAAAGAGAAATTAACATTTTTATATGAAAGGAAGAGATAAAAAAAAACTCATGTTTAAAAAATTGTAAAAGAAAAAATGAAATTTAAGAAAATCGTATTTTTATTTGAAAGAAACTGACCAGAAATAATAGTGTGTGGGCTTTATATCCATTATAATATGTTAGAATTGTTTTTTATATTTGAGGTCTACTTTAAAATTCTAATTCTAATTTATTACAGGTTTATCCTTTAAAGATGTTTCATAGGTAATATGAGATTATAAGTGCACTGAAACATAAGATTGAGGATTAAGGGGTAAGAGTGAAGCGGTCGAAGATTAAGAAATAGGAGTGTTCGACTCTATGATGAGTGTTAATGTTCTGTTTAGGAACAAAAGTATTTCAACTTCAGTATCTATTATAATAATATGGTTAAGATCAATTTTTATGTTTAAGATATTATCCATTTTATAATTTTAATTTATCACAATTTTATCCTTAAAAATCATATCGAGCAAATTAAAAAATAAAAAATATATAAATTATTATTTATCTCAATTTTTAAATAAATAAGCCTCATAAATGTAGGGATCCACTCAAATAATTTGAATTTCCTTTAAATTACTATGGAAGAAACGCTGTAATTAATATTTATAGAAAAAAACTTAATTAGAAGAAAAAAAAATTATTTATTTCATGCAAGATATATTTAAAATACAAAATGCGTTTAAGGTTCAAATATATTTTTTATCCTTATGTTTTTTTATATATAAATTTAGTCTTTATACTTAAAAATTAATTAATTATACAATTTATAAAACATGTGATTTATTTTTTTATATTTAATTTAACACTTATAGATGATTTTCAACTTGATTGATGAAATTATCAAATATAATTATAATATTTGTTATATATAAGTATTTAATAACATATTTTATTACTATAGAATTAATAAAAGAACTAAAAACACTTTTTTTTTTAATTTGGGACTAATTATCAAATTTTTAAATATAGAAACTAAAATTGATAAAAAATAAAAAATATATATTTAACCCTAAATTTAAATATTATTAATTCAAACAAAATAAAATATTTTATTTATCAAATTATTAATTTAAAATTTGTTTAAACATTTTCATGTCCCATATATGAATTTCTATTTTATATATGCACAGATTAATTTCTATTTTAGAGCTTAGGGTAAAATAAAATTTTACAAATTCCATTTGTAAGATTATGTTTATAACCATTTATATATTATGGTTAAGATATTGTCCCTCATATCAACAATATGAGTAATCTTTAATTTCTAGACTATTTTTTCATGATATTATAATTTAATTTTTATTCCATTTATATACTATAGCTTAATTTTTATCCAATTTATATATTATAATTTTTTTATATTGTAAAAAAATAAATTTACTGGTAGAGTTTTTATATTTAATATTAATTAAATTAATGGTGTAATGTAACTTGTTATGTAAAATCTAGAATGATTAAAAAAAATACAGTCAATTAAATCAATATGTCAAAGTATATATCCTAATTAAAAGAAGTTTACTCGAATTTTACTTTTTATACATTTTCTTTCTTTTGAAAATTTATTTTAGTACAAACATCAATAAAATATGTTATATATTATACATCTTTTATGTTTTTACCATATCAAAATTTGAGTCAAAATTAAAAATGAGAATTTACACTAGGGATAATATATGAAACTTTTTTTACGAAAAAATATCTCTTTGTAAAACTAAAAATTAATTTTAAATAAATATAGAGTATTTTTCGATGATTTTTTTTTTCTGAATGATATTATTATTCAATCTTATTCAATAAAATGCATGTTTGATTATAAAAAAGTATAATATTGATAAAGAAAAATGTTATATAGTGGAAACTTTATGTGGGTCCTCACAAGACCCTCTGTCGTCTAGTCACAGGTCCCACTTTCGTAGGTCCTGAAACTTCTGTCATAGTAGGCTATCTCTTGCACATGCAGAATCTTAACTTCTTACTTTACTGCTCCAATGTTTTTATTTATTCATTATTTCTTTTTTCACACTTGAATTGAATGTTGAAGAGAATTTATATGAACTTCGTTTCGTAATATATTTGTTGTTTAAGGATCTTGCTTGGTTTATCTTTCAGTATGACAAAACAAACTCAAGCTTCTATTTGGATAACCTCTGAGGTCCCTTTCTAAGTTGAATTTACTTCAGCCATTTATTGTTTATGGTGTGCTTCTCTCTTTAGAAACCTTCTTGGAGAAGAAATGGAGAATAGGGTACCATTCTTCTTCTTCTTCTTCTTCCCGTCCTCTTTCTCACTTATGCTACTACTTCTCTTGCACCTTTCTTCTGCTCAGATGCCAGGTACCCTCTTCTATGCTTTTGCCTCTTTCAAACTTTCTTCTCTACACTTCAATTGGTTTCCATTAAAATTGAGTCTTTTTCTGCTCTAGCACCGGTTCTCCAGTGTTTTTTTGGTTTAGTGTTGGTCATTGTGCTCTGTAGCCTCTGTTCTCCAGCATTGGTTCTTGGTATTTTTGATACTTTTCTTTTTTTTCCCCTTTTGTCTCTCTTAATGTTTTCATCATGTGCCCTTTTAGTCCTTAGATGTTAATTTCTTTGGGTGGCGACCTCAAATGGGAGAACTGTTTCGACAGTTCACCTGCCTTTCAGTTCTAAAATTAAATCTTTGTGTGTTTCAAAATTCAAAAATACTGAGATTAGCTGAATACAACAATTTAGTATGGATGTAATGTTGAATAATCAAATACATAAACTAAGTAATGGGAGACAGTGATCCAGCTCTAATGGTTTTGAGTCATATAAAACCCTTTAAATTTTCAATCTTCGAGTGTTTTTCCCTTAATCCTTTGTTTTTGGTGCAAGGGTGCATGTAGGGGTCCGTGAATCATGTTTGTAGCAATGTTTCATTAGTAGCAGGCAAGATGCATTTAGCTTAATTTAACAGTGATTAAATGCCAACTGTGTTGTTAAACAGTGAGTAATCATCAGTTAACATAAGCAATTCTTCATGATTGAAGCTTGTTTGGTTCTTGGAACCTGTAGTGCTTGTGTAGATCATAAGATTATTATTATTATTATTATCTATTTTTCTGAAATGGATCTACATATGATTGCTATCATTATTGTGCAAACTTCTCTTAAACTTTCACTGTTTGATTAGATTTTTCAGTTCTCTCAATTCTCAATTGACTATTGTCTGATATTTACTTGATTTGATTTCCTTAGTAAAATTTGGCTACTAGATCTAAAATTGACTGTGCAATTAATTCACTTCACCTCTGCTGTTATTTGGTGACAAAATATGTCATGTTTTGCAGGTTTTGTAAGTTTGGACTGTGGTGGTAAAGAAAATTTCACCGACAAAATTGGTCTTACATGGACTCCTGATACACTTAAGTATGGAGAAATAAGCACTATATCAGTTGCAAATGAGACACGGAAGCAATACACAACAGTACGACATTTCCCAGCTGATTCCAGAAAATACTGCTACTCACTTGATGTTGTTAGTAGGACAAGGTACCTACTGAGGGCATCTTTCTTGTATGGGAACTTTGATGCAAACAATGTTTATCCGAAATTTGACATTTTTATTGGTGCTACTCATTGGTCGACTATAGTTATATCTGATGCGAACACTATAGAAATGAGAGAGCTTATATTTCTAGCTTTAAGTCCTACAGTTAGTGTATGTTTATCAAATGCAACAACTGGAAAGCCATTCATATCTACGCTTGAACTCCGGCAATTCAATGGTTCAGTTTATTATACATACACTGAGGAACGCTTTTACCTCAGTGTCTCCGCAAGGATAAATTTTGGTGCAAACAGTGATGCTCCAATCAGGTATTTGGTCAACTCCGTCTGTTTCATAGCTTGCTCTAATTAATCTTCTAAGGACTCATTTTCTTAAGTATATCACAACATACATGTACTATTTTGAAGTCAGTCATTGAAATCAGATAATGTTACCAAGTAGTCATGAATCCGCCAGGAAACCTTTTAATTTGGCAAACTATGAAACTTCAGTCCCGAATCAGATAATGTTAGTATACTCACACAAACACATGCATTCGGACACCTTTTGCATATATTTTACTGTTGTTTTCATTAGAAAAGAACTACTTCCACATAGATTGTATCTCTAATGGTAATCATATTTACTGCATAGATAGTGTTAGCTCCTGTGATTTTGAAGAAGTGTCTTTTCATTCATTGTGCGTATTTCTGCCATATCAGGTATCCTGATGACCCATTTGATAGAATTTGGGAGTCAGATTCTATCAAGAAAGCAAACTATCTTGTTGATGTTGCTGCGGGAACTAGGAAAATTTCCACCAACAAATCAATTGAAGTTAGCCGTGATGAAATGCCACCAATGAAAGTAATGCAGACAGCTGTAGTGGGCACAAACGGATCTCTAACTTACAGGTTGAACTTGGATGGTTTTCCTGGTTTTGCATGGGCAGTCACCTATTTCGCAGAGATTGAAGATTTGGCTGAAAATGAGTCCAGGAAATTCAGGCTAGTACTTCCAGGTTATCCGGATATTAGTAAGCCTGTGGTAAATATTGAAGAAAATGCTCCAGGAAAATATAGCCTTTATGAACCAGGATATACAAATTTATCCTTACCCTTTGTTTTGTCCTTTAAATTTGCCAAAACATCTGATTCTGCCAGGGGCCCTCTTCTAAATGCCATGGAGATTAATGAGTATTTGGAGAAAAATGAGGGCTCTCCTGATGGTAAGTCCGTACCACATGATATGTTGTTCGGTTACGTGTATGTGTATGTACAATGCTAAATGTTATATAAGTTAAACCCTCAGAAGTTATATCTAGTGTAATTTATTTTGTACTTGGATTTGGATGGTTTGCACTTTGCAGGAGAAGTTATATCTAGTGTAACTTCACACTACTCCTCGGAAGAATGGGCACAAGAAGGGGGTGACCCATGTCTACCTGTTCCATGGTCATGGGTCCGCTGTAGCCCAGATCAACAGCCAAAAGTAGTTTCAATGTAATGGTCTATATGTTTTAAGGTTTATATAAAAAAAAAGAAGAAGGAAAAGAGAAGGAAAGAAAAACCAGCTACCTTCTGATAATGAGTGCTTAAATACTTTAACTAAATAGAAGTTCAAATGATCCACTAACGGTTGCTTTGTATTGGTGGTGATGACAGTTTGTTGTCCAGTAAAAACTTGACGGGCAATATTCCTTTGGACATAACCAAACTGAGTGGTCTGGTTGAACTGTAAGTTCAGTACTGCTTTCTTATTTTGCTTCAAATCTATGAAACCTGTGGCTGGTGGCATAATGATTCGATTCATGGTACAGATGGCTTGATGGTAATATGTTGACTGGCCCAATACCAGATTTCACAGGATGCATGGACTTAAAGATCATGTAATGGCTGATGAATTCTTCCTATATTAATTTTTTTTGGTACTATTAACTAAACCAGAACCTCTTCCTCTTGCAGTCATCTTGAGAACAATCGGTTGACAGGTGCCCTCCCAACCTCTTTGGCGAACCTTCCAAACTTGAGGGAATTGTAAGCTCTGGAACTTACTATCATTTCTTTGATAAAAAATTGGAAATTAGATATATTCTGTTTATTTTGATACGATTGTTGTAACACTTGTAATGGTTGTAGGTATGTCCAAAATAATATGTTATCCGGAACTGTACCATCGAATCTTCTGAAGAAAGTTTCTCTTGTAAAGTGAGTACCTTGTTTACTTGAACTTAAATACAATGCAGCATTACATTTGCTGAAGTGGAGGAAATTTTTGTCATGTTGCATCTAGGAGAATTAATGAAATTTATACACAAGATATGATGGATGCCTTTGCATTATTTTGCTCTGTTCAATTCAATTTTTTTTTTTTTTCTGGATTTTAATCTTTACAAATGGCTTGCAAAGTATGATGATATCTGTTACGCTGAAATAAAATGTTTGCTTTATAACAAGAGGAACCAACATTTGCGGTGTTATCATTTAAAGTAGATAGCTAATCGAGTACTAAAAGTCACATTCTATATACACTGGCGCTTCCATTTTTGCCTGAATTTTGTATATATTGATTATATCTTCTACTCTAATGTTGCAGTGCTACCCTTTCCCAGCTCTCTTATATTTTTTTCCTTAATATTTTGGTTTCTGAATTCTGATCATGTTGCTTTGATTGCTTAAATTAATGTAGCATGTATGTCAGCTAATATGACAGTGCTTCAGTATATTTTAAATTATGGATTTTTTCCTTGAAATGCTAATACTTCCAAGTGATCAATATATATTTTCTAGGTTAATTCTTATCCTTTTGTCCAGATTTTCTAATACACTATCACCATATTCACAAAATGACCACTACTTTTACTTTGCTCCTCACCAGCTACTCTGGAAACACTAATCTTCATAAAGATAGCAGAAAAAAGACCCCCATGTATGTGATTATTGGTTCAACAGTTGGGGCTGCTGTTCTACTTTTGGCCACTATTATATCTTGCTTGTTTAAGCATAAAGGAAAGGGCAAATATTACGAGCAAAGTAGGACTCTCAATCAAAATTATATACTATTTTTTTCAGAGATTTTTGTGATTGCAGAATGTAATATTTGTTTACACTGTTTATAGACAGCCTTGTTTCCCACCCTTCTCAAAGTATAGATTCTTCTAAAGCCATTGGTCCTGCAGAAGCCGCACATTGTTACAGCTTTTCTGAGATTGAAAACTCCACAAATAATTTTGAGAAAAAAATTGGTTCTGGTGGTTTTGGAGTTGTTTACTATGGGAAACTGAAAGATGGAAAAGAGATAGCAGTCAAAGTTCTGACCAGTAATTCCTACCAGGGAAAACGAGAGTTCTCCAATGAGGTATCTTGCAGTTCATAAACAAATTTCGGTAATCAAACATTGCAGCCATCTCAGCTTAATTGGCTTAGTTACATTTTCATATCTTTCTGTTTGCTTTTGTCCCGCTCCTCATCTGGCTTCGAAATAACACATAAAGAGAGAAAACTAGTTTCAACATTCTTAATAAACTCTGTTGGCATTGAATAGATATTCATATCAGAGTTATATTTTTTGTTTGATCCAGGTGACTCTTCTCTCAAGAATACATCACAGAAATTTGGTACAACTTCTTGGCTATTGTCGAGAAGAAGGAAATAGCATGCTTATTTATGAGTTCATGCATAATGGAACTCTCAAGGAACATCTTTACGGTATGTAAGCCTACATGATTTAAATCAAGGATCTGAAATCCATATACTCAACTATTCCTAACATCCTGTAGCCCCATTAACGCACGGACGGAGTATCGATTGGAAGAAGCGGCTAGAGATTGCAGAAGACGCCGCAAAAGGTTTATAGTGCATCACTTATGTATTTAGTTTAAGATGATATAGCATTAGTACTTTTTTCCTCCAATTTTCTGATGTAATGGCCCTTCCCCTAACTATAGACACATTGTTATTTTGTTATTAATTGTGTTATTGTCATGCTTGTTCAGGTATAGAGTATCTTCATACAGGCTGTGTTCCTGCAGTCATCCATAGAGACTTAAAAAGCAGCAACATTCTTCTTGACCAACACATGAAAGCCAAGGTTTCAGATTTTGGTCTTTCAAAACTTGCTGTGGATGGGGCCTCCCATGTTTCTAGCATAGTTCGAGGGACAGTAGGATATTTGGATCCTGAGTAAGGCCTTCACTATTTTCCATGACTTTGCTGTTTATTATTTCTTGGGTGCCTACCTCTGATTAACCACAAACTTTATCATTGTAACTTTCAACAACAGGTACTATATTTCTCAGCAGCTTACTGACAAGAGTGACATTTATAGTTTTGGTGTAATTCTTCTTGAACTCATATCTGGTCAAGAAGCAATATCTAATGAAAGCTTTGGTGCAAATTGCCGAAACATAGTCCAGTGGGTGAGTTTTAACTTCCCAGAAAAACACAGAATTTTGAAGCATAAGTATAACATGAGTTAATTCATAAACCATGTTACTGTAAAACATTCATACACCGAGTAAAATTTGACTATTTTACTGCATTTTATTCATTAATACAATGAGTTTCACAATACATTGTCAATGTAAAACTTCTAAACTATCATAACAATCATATCATGTAAAACTTTTACACTATGCATAACCTATTCGTAAATTCCTGTTGGTGAGTAAACTTATTTTGCATGAACAACAATGTATATAAATTAAACTGGAAAACTTAAAACTAACAATACTTTCATGTTAGATAGATTTGAAGAACTTCCATGTCATATTGAATTAGATTTATCTAAACTACATTATTTGACAGGCAAAACTACACATCGAGAGTGGAGACATACAAGGTATTATTGATCCCGTGCTACAGAACAAGTATGATCTGCAATCAATGTGGAAGATAGCAGAGAAAGCATTGATGTGTGTTCAACCACATGGACACATGAGGCCATCAATTTCTGAAGTTCTGAAGGAGATCCAAGATGCAATTGCTATTGAGAGAGAGGCCGAAGGGAATTCAGATGAGCCAAGAAATTCGGTTCATTCTTCAGTCAACATGGATTTGGCTGCTCCTGAGAGTTTCCTCTCAATTGATGATTCCATTGCACAACAACAACCTACTGCACGATAGAGTAAACCTTCATATGTAAATGCACAATTTTTTATTATTTTTTAAATATTGGCAAAGCCATAAAGATTGAATATCTGGGAGTTCTAGGTTTCAAATTTTGCCTTTTGCTTAGTTGAATGTGATGTGACAACATTAATATAGCAAATCTACAGTGTGCTTGGACCTGCACATTAGTGATTGTGTAGGGAATGTTGATATTTTTACAACAACAATAAACAAGTTTAAACTTTAGGTTCTATTTGGAAAAATCAAAGTACCATCTCAAAAAAAATGTCAAAATCCAATATATAAATGGATATACTGTAATGTAAATTAATATTTTACATTATTCTACTTTTTTTGGGTATATTTATAGTACCCTTTTTTTCAAACATGTTTATTCATATTTAAAAATTTTGAATTTATTAAATTTATTTGAAAAAGTGTTATGAACTGTATACTTATCTTCTTGGTACGTTCCAAACTAGTTTTTCTAATTTTAAGCTTCTCATTTTATGTTTTAAGTTGATGTTGACCTACGAAATTAATATTTCTTGTTATTTAAGTTTAGATTTGTTAGGGTTACATATAATGACTATGGATGAAATGTTTGATTTTTTATTTTTATTTTCTTGTAGAGGGAGATATGGGAGTGGATGGATTAGAGTGAAACATTTATTGGGACAAAAAGAATGGTTCGGTTTATGTTATAAATCATAGAGGATTTTCATTAAGATGATAAATACCTATCTATTCACGTTATTTGTATTTTTTTTATTCAAATCAAATTATTTGCTTTAGTAATTTAATCAACTTTCTCTAATGAAAAGCGATAATTGTTTTTAATAAACGTGTATGGGATAATTTTTTCTAAAATATTTTAATAAAATAGATATTTTAATTATTAATTATATAACTATTTAAATATAAATTGTAAACAATTGTTAAAATTTTGAATAGTTTAATAAAATGATTAAAAAGAGTATTTAAACACCTTTTACCTTATTCTTAAATCTATTATATTTTAAATGATTATAGAATATAATATATTTTACAGTGATTTTAATTGTAAAAAATATGATAAATAATCATAAAATAAAATATTAAATGAAAATAAAAATTTATACTGTGACAGATTTTAACCATTAGTATTTTTTTTATTTAAATTCTAATATTTTAAAAATATTTATCACGATTTTTTTTACGTATGTAAATCTGATAATTATTTTAATTTTCAAAAATTTTATTTATAGTTATTTTTAAGTCTTAAAGTTTATAATTTTAATTGTCATAAATATATTTTTGTAATAATAATAATACGAAACAACTAAAATTATAAGAGGTAATTAAAAACAAATAAAATTTGTCCACTGTACGTATCGTATAAAATTAATCAATTAAATTATGAGGTAAAAAGTTATTTGTATAATAAACTAGAAAACAAAAAAATACAATTAAACTTAATAATAATAATAATAATAATAAAAATAATAATTCAGTTATAAAATGCATAGTTTTTTAAGTAAAGTAATTAAAAGGCTAGTATGATTTTTGTTTTGTTCATTTAGATAAAGTGATTGTTTACATAGATTATCCTAAGATTTCGAAATAAATACTATTGTCATTAGAGTATTTCATATTGAAAACCAAAAAAAAAAATTATTAACACGGTTAATAATGAAATATATGAACACTGTTAAAGAATAAAAAAATCGTTCTCTTAATATAAATATTTAGAGACAAACATAAAAGTATTGTGCATTAGATTAGTTTTAACATACTGTGAAAACATTTAGTGAACGGGAGGAGAAAAAATAATAATAATAATAATGTCTATGTATCCCATGGGTCTCGACCTCTATTTATCGTTGATATTCTACTTTTCACCTGTGCGAGTTCCAAAGATATTGAGGATTATACACCCCTAAAGTTGTGGGATTTTCCTTTTCCTTTTTCTAGGTACTGGGCTTGACTGATGAGAGAGGTACCGTGAGAGAGGATAGGAGTTCTTTGTCTTGAAACAAGGTTATTAGTTTTGAGAAAATCAACACTGCTTTGAGAGTTTAAAACAATAAATCATCGTAGAAGATAAAAGTTGTAATTCAAGCATATTTGTTTGGACGAAAAGATCCTTTATATATTTTTTGTTTGTCTTGTATTTTATACCATTAAGTATTTGTTGTGAGATCTATAAAATCCGATAGTTAGCTGTGTGTAACATTTTCTTGTTTGTAAGTACGTAATGGATCTTTTGGGATTACATTGTTGTAAGCTTTGAACTTCTCTATTGTTTTCTTGATTTTAGGTAAGAAATGTATTCCTTATCATCTTCAGCAACCAAAGAACTTATATGTGGGTTTGTGTAGAGGACACCCGAGGTAGTGGATTATTGTAGCAAAATAGTGTAATTTATCACTGACTTTATGTCATTGGCACGAGGACACCCAGGCTACCGTGGAGTAAGGAGAGTCGAACCTTACCTTAAAGGATAGCTACACTTGGGTTGATTCACGTGTTAAAGACTATTTTTTAAAATATCGGTAGTCATCCGTTTTATTATCCTTTATCGTGAGCCAATGTATGGTTAAGGGAAACAAAGATAAGGATGTGATTTCTCTCGAGAGATGTTGTGTCATAGACAATGTATGTCATGACATGGGGTAATATGAGAATTTTTTCTATATGTATGCATGTCTGTTATGAGTTATGAATGTGACACCCATTCAACTTCATCCTAATAGTTAAACCACCCTCCAACCTTTAAGGTCAGTGTGCGACATTTTGCACTTGAAGTTGACTCCTCTAGTCTTCCTTCATCACTTGAGCTCTCACCCTGACGATGGAGCAGGTTGGCTGTCGGTCATAAGTTAATCGTCTAATATATTATTTGCTAAATATACTTCATCGTTCAAGAACTTCAAGACACATTTCTTTAAGGTACAAGTGGAGGAGGATGGGTGGAAGTATTTCTATGATGAGGACAAAACCAAGTTCTTGTTTTATTGGACTTTGATCCAATCCACTATCATCATTTGTTCAGAACCAACATGTTACATTCAAATCATGAATGTTTTGGACAAACTCCCCTGACGACTTCCCACTTGGAAGCTTCTTGGGGCCTATTTATCTCCACGTCGTCAGAGTGATATTTTTGGTATAATTTTGCTCTTTATTTATTATGTTTTACTCTTGTTGTTAATTATGTTGAATTATTGGTTTTAATGTAAATATCATAAATGTTGTTTTTCCCTCCTATGAGGGGTTATTCCGTTAGTTGCAAAAAGAGAATACACCCTCAATCAAGATGGAGGGTGCTCATATCGATAAGGGAAAAAAGATTGTTAAAAGTGTTTCGACAGCTACGCCTCCACCTTTTGGTAGAGACGAGGCAAAAGCACGAGTCGAGATGACAAACGTCATTCTCCTCGAGAGCGTTTGTTGAAGAAGGTCTGAACTTCTGGAAAGGAGGTTGATTACAACATGTTTCTTGGTCGAGATCTATAAGTATCGACTAAAGTACATATTGCCCTCACAACCTTAAAGTGGGAGGCTATGCCACAATCTCGCTAATCAAATTGTACAAGACATTTATGGAGTTGTATACGCACAACTCACTCATAGGTAAGTGCATCTACAATGATTTGGTGGAGTCGAATGGCTCGAGCTGACCAAGTTGAAACAAAAGTTGGTAGACTCAAGTGATGCGTTGAATAGGTCGTTGAAATCTAACTCGACACTTAACAATAAAGTATTGAGTTTAGAAGAAAAGGTGAAGGAGTTGAAGGAGAAGCTGGAAACCACATTTGTTGAGTGCACCGAATGGCATACCAAGTTTGTTTAGGCTGAGAAACGTGAGATCTCCTTCAAGGATCAACTGAACTTTGTTAAGCAGACTCTAGTAGAGATGACTCTATCTCATGATGTATAGAGGTCAAGAAGAAGGAGGCAATTGAGAGAGGTATGAAGGAGTTAGAGCAATATGTGATATATGAGCATATTGAGGGATTTAACAAGACAATTTATCAAACAAACTTACTTTTTGGGACTCCTCTTGCTGACGATCAATTAACTATCAATAAGGATGTTTACCAAGGTCGCCTGGTACTCTTAAATGATATTCCTTATGATGATGAACCAGATCAGGCCTCTACCATTGTTAACCCTGTTGTTGATAGCATCTCTTTGGATAATTAGGCTATTTATGTACGTTTGGTGCCACCTATTTTTGTGGCATTTTTGTAACGCAGCCCTTAAATATTTGGTTACCCATTTTGTTAATGAATTGTTTTTGTTTGCTTGTTGTAGGTTTGCTCATTCATTTGTTAAATTTTTTATTTGCTTATCATGGGCTTGCAATTGGTTTGAACTCGAGAGGGATCATTCGTGGTTGAATGAAGCTTCCCTGGGCGAGGTTTATGCAGGGGTTAATCGTTCGGGAGGGATTACTCTAAATTTGACTGAAGCGTCATAGACTAAGAGATTATGATGAAAAAGATTTATATTAAATGTTACATTAAAACCTTTTCGTACAAAATCCTCCTTAGGGAAAGATCTAGGGGTAGAAAAAAGAGTGTATGTGTATATGGAAATTTTAAACATAAATTTAGTTGAACCTTAGGACTTACTGGTTCGTTGAAAAAGTGTTATAGCCAGTAGACATCATTGTGCAAGGATTGACTTATTTGAAATGGTCCTTCCCAGTTGGTTGAAAAGTTATCATCTGTTGGATTTTTGCAGGCGTTGCTTCTTACTAGGGTCGCTTCATTCATGTGGCTTACTTCGTGGGTTGGTGGTTCTCGCTACTTGTAATGTTGTCTCCATATTTCTCAAGAGTACTTTTCAACCTTATGGTGGATGTCAAATGTTCTTGCAAGGTCGAAAACATTCCACAAAACCGTGACCTGACTGCATACTTTACTTCGATGATGTATGTTGTTAAGTATCCATAACTCTACTTTTGGTATTTCGTCTCAAGACCAAGATGTTCTCGGTGTGCTTACCAATGACACTCCAATGTTCAAGTCAATCAAGTAAGTAATCAGACGAGATTAGTATTAAAATTATGTTCATATCTCAAGAGTGTCGTTTATTTATATTATCTTTTTGAGTCTTATGAATCTTGAATATTTTGTCTTTCTACTTTTGGTCACATAGGTACAATACATGTGTCTTAACCCACGTGACTATAATGTACATCCTAACTCATATGACTACAATATCATATGGGATACTATATCTCGAATATATTTTGTGTTATAAGAAGATTATTATTGGATTATGAACATGTTTAGATGATGAAAAAAAATCCAAAATCTTTAGTTATTTAAAAAAAGTCATATTCTAATTTATAAATAAGATGTTTAACTTAAAGAAAATACAATTATTTTATTATAACGATATTATCAAAATAAAAATCACTTAATAATACACTATTAAAAATATATATAAACACATCTATTATTTCTAGAACCAAATTTCACTAAAATAATGTTTAAATTTGAAGAATTTGTACCGCGAAACTTATAAAATAGAGAAATATTTTTACCTTTTATCTTTAAATTTTGGATGTTGAATCATGTGAACATCTTTTATTAAGAAATCTTTTATAAAGAAATTGTTCATATCTAATTGAAATAGAAAAAATATTTATAAGTATTAGAAAGAGTTATATTATGAATAGAGAGACGAATTGTATAATAAGGAAAAAAAATCTTATTAAAGTCAAAATCAAATTATTGATTAGAATCTTTTACTACTAATTAAGGTATAAATTTATGAATAGTCTCATTAATTTTTTTCTTTTCACAAAATACTCAGATGATGATAATTAGGAAAAAAATAACTAAAATAGTTTCTTATTTATTTTATGATAAAGAAATTAATCTACAAATCACTTTATATTATAAAGAAAATTTGATACTATTTAATTTCACATTAACCATAATAAAAAAAGGATAATTTAATTTTGGGTTGAATAATTCTAGACTCAAATAAGTTTTACACAAAAGTGAATATTTGTTAGTTATTAATAATATGTTTTGAGTTTAATTATAATTAAAAATATTGTATATATATTATTTAGAAATTACAGAACTAGAATAAATAATGTATATAAAAATAGTGAAAAGGTAGAGATGAAAAGAAATTTAACAAAAATTCAAAAATGGTGCAGGTGGGTGATGTAATATTAAGAATTATAGTTTCGTTATTTGAGTTATTTTGTTGGGACAAGTATAAAAAAGGGAACCAGTGGGAGAGGCTAAGGGAAGGTGAAAGAAAAAACGAACGGTGGCGATAGAAAGGCACACTCTCATCTCCATCGTCTCCTCACTCCTCTCTTCTCCAGCGTCCATATCCCGCGCCAATCACAAATCACATCATATCACTCAGGTACCAACACCTCACCACCACTCCCCCTTCTTTTTCTTTTCATTTTTATTTTTTCTTCCCTCTCTCTCTCTCTTCTTATCCCTCTCTAGGGTTTTCCCTTTCCCCTCATTTCACCATGTTTTTCTACCGCCTCCGATTAGGGTTCCGCCCACCATGGCCGATGCTCCCGCGAGTCCAGGCGGCGGCGGCAGCCACGAGAGTGGCGACCACAGTCCCCGCTCCAATTTTCGCGAGCAGGACCGCTTCCTCCCCATCGCCAACATCAGCCGCATCATGAAGAAAGCGCTTCCCGCCAACGGCAAAATCGCCAAGGACGCCAAAGAAACCGTGCAGGAATGCGTGTCCGAGTTCATCAGCTTCATCACCAGCGAGTACGCTTTCTCTTCGTTTCTCACTCTCGCTTTTGTTGTCTCTTTGAATTAATTAACTAATGGATGCATGAATTGCGTTATTGCTTCGCAGAGCTAGCGATAAGTGCCAGAGAGAGAAGAGAAAGACCATTAACGGTGACGATTTGCTTTGGGCTATGACCACTTTAGGTTTCGAAGAATACGTTGATCCACTCAAGATTTATCTAGCCTCTTACCGAGAGGTAATTTTAATTTACAATTACTTATGTTTACTGTTTTTTAATTAGTTCATTAGTCTCCTCCGACAAGCCTTGTGATATGTATACGTTGTTCATCATTTATGCTTAATTGATTATAGTATGTTGTTCTGGATTCTTGGGGTTTAAACGCATTGCTTTTCACTGATTTTTCTTTTTCTTTTCTATGGTTTCTCGTGGGCCGATTGAGAATGCTGCAGATTGAGGTAATTTTAATTTTTGAGAAATAGATAGTACGCTTCTTTTTTTTTTTTTTTTTTTTTTTCATTTTGTGTGTGTCTGTACACACAATGTTTATGATTTTTAAGCTTTTTTTATTATTTTTTGAGCCAGGGTGATTCAAAGGGTTCGGCCAAGGGTGGAGAGACATCTGCTAAGAGAGATGTTTATCAAAATCCTAATGTCCAGGTGGAGAATGTAATACATTCACTACTACTGGTCGTGTTGCTGGAAATATTTTTAGAATACATAATGAGATTGGCATCTAATGTTGGATTGTTTTGTTGTGGAATTGACAGCTTGCTCATCAAGGTTCTTTCTCACAAGGTGTTAACTACACGAATTCTCAGGTGATTGATTACTCTCTCTAATGCAATGTATCCCTTTTTTTTCCTGCGCTTGGGGCGTTGCTAAGACTTGTGTTTAATTTGACATGACTAGAATGTTAGGAGAGAGGCTGATGCTTCATTCACGTGAATATGCCCTTTTCCTCGTAGCCTTTTGTTGCTTTGGGCTCAATATAAATAAAAGTTTCTCATTATGTTAGCGCTTGTACCATTTTGATTTGTCATAAGGAAATTTGAAGACTTGTAGCTATAAAGGGGTCCCTCTTACTGGCCAATAACTTGATTAATAATTGGTTACATTTGGTCGGTAGGAAATATATACACCCGTTGAAGTCCCTGATGAAATATTGCATGACTGACCACTTGGTGTTCGGTTCAATTATCTATCTCTCCCCTTTCTTGACTCTGTAAGCCTTTTGATTTATAGGTTGTTCAACTCAATATAAGGCGCGTATCTTAGAAATTTTTTTTTTGCTTGTGGGGATGAAAATGTAAAATTTAAGACATTGGAAACTACTAAACTAGTTTTGTTAGAATTTTTTTCCCATCTTGTAAGAAATTGTACACCTGCTAACCATTGAATACATTAAACCTGTTATGGCCCCTGTACGCTTTAATTTTTTTTGGCAATTTTGCATTGGGATTAAACTAGGTTTTGTGGGGTCTTGTATTGGTAATAGGATGGTAGGTTTCTTTAGTAATTTCAGACCCCAAATGTGATGAATTTCCAACCCCAAGGCTTGTTGACTGGTAGTTTCACTTGGCTTTCTTTGATAAAGTATGTACAATTCTTTTCCAAGTTAGTGCTGAAACATTATGCTGTTTACCTTTGGTTATAACTTATAAGTGAGAATATTTGTTTCTTGATTGCGCTTGGTAAAAGTGTGTCTTAATTTAAAAAATTTCTGGTGGTGCGTCATGATGAAATGTCTTCAAGCTACAGGGTGGTTACCTTATCCCCCAAAAGTCAGATATATCTGACTTGCTTCCATGTAGTAACGACTTAAATTTAATTTTGAAAGTATATTTGAATTGGCAAGTTAAATGACCCTTCAGAATCATAGGGTAATATCATTCCTTCTGTTGGCAATTACAAATTTCACTGGCTCTTTCTTTTTTATCATTTTGTTCTACCTATTCTTTCCTTAAGTACTCTAGCCTCTAGGACCATTTTATCATGTGCCTTTGTATGGGTTTTATTAACTAATTAAGATCAAAGCAGGAATTTTCAGTTCTTAAAACAAAAAAGATTTGAAAGCAAGTTTTATACAATTAATAAAGCGTTAATCACGACATTATTTCTGAAGAAACTTATATTAGTAATTGGTTTTCCATGAAGCCGAACATATATGGGTGATTTTTATCTCTGGTTCGATAGTTATATATTAGTTTGTGGAATGTTGGCTCAAGCAACATGTTTATGATATTAAATTCTCACTTTTAATTTTCAGCCCCAGGGTCAACATATGATAGTTCCCATGCAAGGCCAAGAGTAAACGTTGATCCTCCTTCAGTGTTTGACATGTGTGATCTAAATGCCGGTGGAGCTTTTATATGGACCCCTTGGCATAAATGCACTGTCTTATCTCAATAGCAACATAAGGGGATGTTGGTTCATGTGACCGGATAATATTTATTAAGGCTTGAATTTATCTTTAGAAAAGAATCATTATTCACAAGTTATATTGTAAATTCTGGATCAATGCTTGTTTTATTCCATCAAGTGTCCGTCCTGGCAAGAACTAAGGATTTTATGTAACTGATTGGAAGCATAAATTGGTATATTCTTTCCCTTTTTCTGTCAGTCATCGGATGAAAATGTTTCTAAATCGGATCATGGTTTGGCTTGGCTTTAGTTTCTCCTATCTGTTCACGTATATCCAGACTAATCAAGGAGTCAGGCATAAGTGATTAATGTATTGAACTCAAGGTTAAATTATTCTGGTATTTTTTGAATTTGATTTGTGGTGCAAGCTATTCTTAGCAAAATGTTTATTTATCTTCTTATGATCAAGTTAGATTAGGTTGATGCAAATTATTGAGACCACGATGTACCATGTCAAGGGAGAAAAAAAAATTTATATTTGGGTGTTTTACCATGTACTACAATTTTCTTCCCACTAGAAAAGCTGCTCAAATCAAATTAAGTCATTATGTAATGTTAATAAAGAAGGTTTTCAAAAGACCCTTTGAGCCCCATCGGTGTTCTCATACACATCGGAGAGATTCAGCTCCTTTGACACTCTTTCTAGTCTCTTGTTTTATTTTTTGACCTTGGATGTACATTCACTAACTACATGGTATGCATTAAGCAATGCGAGGCTTCGCTTTTTCCATGTGCCCGCTCCATGAGTTGATTGATTACTTAGGCTTAAGGAAAGCAAGTTGAATTGGACGTGTAAAATTGACCGTTCTATATTTATGGTAGATTTTTATATAGGGTGTGGAAATTTTTCATAACATGGTTAGCGTCACTTTCCACTACTGGTAATTAGTTATATAAACAGTTGTGACATAACATAAAGCTATGAGCTACTGTTTCCGATGTTTTTTTTTTATTATTATTATTTGGTTGACAGTATTACTGGTATTTGGTTTGACTGTAGAGCAGCGATGCTCATTTTTGACAAATGCAATTTTAACACCTCTGTTATTCCATAATTTGTGACGGGTTGGTACAAAATACACTTTTGTTGGTCTGCACACTCTAGACAGTAGTTAGGAATGTGAAAGTATTCGGAAGCTCAGTGGTGTCAAGTAATTAGGTTTATTTTTATTTATTGTTTTCCACTTTGGAAGTGTGGTTTAGTAAAAAGAATATTGTTAGTGTATGGGTATGCTTGAGAGTGCTCGGATGCACCAGTGATGCTCTTTTCCTTCTCCTTTACGTTGGTAGATTACTAGGTTACTGTTATTACATCTGAACTAGCAGTAATATTTTGGGGGCTTTTTACAAATATATTCCTATATGTATAATCATACTAATCATTTTTTTAAATATTAATGTCAATTATATTTTAATAAAAATAATTAAATATTTCCAAAGATCCAACGTTATAAATGTTTCCTGTGAGTTTTACATATTTTTAAACAAATATTCTTAAATTTTGATGTGTTTACACACACACACACACACATATATATATATATATATATATATATATATATATATATATATAAACAGTTATTGTGATATTATGTATTTGAAAAAAAATGATAAAATGAAGGAAAAACGTTTAATACATATAAAAATAGAGAAAAAAAAAGTGAGACATATAAAAGGAGTGTTAAAAAAAAATTAAAAAAAAAATCATATAAAAATGTGTCAGTTTTTATAATAAATATTTTGTAGAAACAACAGTTAAACTTAATAAAGTAAAAAGTGAGAGTGCCAAATCCACGTGCCTTAGTCTCTGTATATATTTGTCTTTTCCAGTATCATTTCCAAGTTCATATTCTCGTCACTGTTGCCATATTCTTTGATTAATTGTTTTCTTTTGTAGTGAGTGGGGTGTGTGAGTTGAAGGACTAATTTATCTCATCCTTCTTCACACTACTTGTTATGTTGTTTTAATCTTTTCTAATTTAGAAGAAACAGAATCATTTTATGAGAAATCTCTTCCCTGGATCCGTTACATGAACAAGAAATATAGCCATTATTATGTTTTTCAGATTTCATAATTGCACACAAGATAGTTTGTAACAGTAATAAATGAAAACAGAAAGTATTTTTCTCAAAGAGACCTTAACTACTAAAAATATGCATAAAACCATTCTTAACAAAGTGAAAGTTATAAAGATTTGTGTTACTGACACTGAAAACAAAAACATTAATTTTAATTTTTTTTCACATATATAAACTTAAACATCCTATCCTGTACTATCTTAAATGCTTTCACTTCACATCTCCCTTTACAACATGCCCTAATTTGATCTGAAATTCTTAGGTAGGTTCCTTAGTCAGAAAGAGTAGTTGTTGAGTCAATTGTTAGTGGAAAGCAGTAACAAACCATTATAAATTTTGTATGATGGAAAGAATCTCAAATAAAAGCACATTGTCCTAATCTGGTAATCTGGAAAAAAAAAAAAGCTACCCACCATCTTCTTAACCTAAAGTTTCAGGCACTCCATTCCTCTAATTCAATTACATGTCATATACATTGGGCTTCCGTATCAAACTTCAGGCCCGATACCATAAGCTCGTCATCAAGGAATAAGATGCTTATCCTTTGGAAAGGAAATACTACAATACCTGTTAAGAATAATACAACCCGTAAAATTAAATGAACAAATAAATTCCTTTTTAATCATTTAAATCACAAAACTAAACAAAAAATCAAAGAGTTTAGAATCATAAATAATACCATTATTATTATTATTTTTCAAAACATTTACCCACTTATTTTATCAAAATTTAACTATGTTTTTAGTTTATCATATTTTGAATAAATTTGTTTTTCTTATTTTGTTTCAATTTTTTTAATATGTATTTAGTTTTTAAAGTCATGTGATAAAAAAATTTACCAGTGATAAAAAACATTTATCATGAGTCATAACAGTGACCACTTTCTTTTTTAATGTTAATAAATTTTAAAGATATTCAATATTTTTTTTAAACTAAAGCAAGATTTATGAAAAGAAAAAAATTACTTTTATTGAAATATATTAAAAAATAAATAAATAACGAAGATCATTAAATTTTTTTTATTAACCAAGTTTTTCTATTTTCACTCGTTTTTTTTTATATTCCATCTAAACAATTATTATACTTTTATTTGGTTCTAGTATTTTATTTTAACATTTGTAATGATTGGGATATATGTGTTTTATATAAAATGCAATGCATAAATATTTTGAATACAATTAAAACTCATAATAAATATTTTTGTTATCATATAAATTATAATTTACATTTATAATAAACACTAGTTTTTTATTTATTTATAATGCAATAAAGAGGGAAACTATAAAAAGGTAAATCCATAAATTAAATAGAGGAACATTATTTTTCTTCAAAAAATAATAATTAATTTGTTGATAAAAAATAATTGAAAGTGAACATTATAGTTCTTAACATATTCAATTTTGTTAATGATAAAAAATATCATATTTTTATTGAGATTTATAATGTACAATATATGTGAGGATGAGTTTGAGGTTATCATTAAAAAAATTGCATGAAATCCAGAGTAAAATAACAATAGAAAATATATTTTTTACTTTATAATTCAACTAAATTTCTAGTTATGATTTAAATTAAATTTTTTTTTCATTTTTATAATTCTCTTAAAATGGGATAGACCGATTCCATTTGGTTCGACCAAATGCATTTTTTATAATTCATCTTGGTAATATTATTTTAAAAGTATTTTTTAAATTTTATAAGTTGTAATAAATAGGATAATAACATTTACTACTATTATAATTTTTTTATAAACTTTTTGTTATTACATATTTATTGTATTATTGAGAAATATTATTTTATTAAATTTAATTAAATTTTGAATCAATTTTTTAAAAAAGTCTCTTTATCTTTGATTTCAAAAATATTGATTATAATAGAATTTTTTTAATCATTTTTAAATATTAAAATAATTAGATCAAAAATATTGATATTTTATGCTTAACATGATTTTGAAAAAAAAATATATTAATTTCTGAATCTAACCAAAAAAGCCCAAATACCACTGTACAGGTGGCAATGGTAATTGACAGAGAGGTGCATCAAATTTCATAGACCTCACCAGCAGAGTATCTATTCCAAGGCTAATGGTAATTAACACCAATAATCACCCACATAAATATTTACACTATCATCACCCTTTGTTGTTTTGTTTCCAAGTTGCAAGCGTTCGTGTGCAATCACCCTTTCTTTCCCTGGTTTTCTTCAATTTTTATTTTTCTCTCTCTGTTTTTCTCAATTTCCTCAATCCTTTATCAATTCATTCTCTTATTCTCATCAGAAACAATTCGATGAAGAAGTAAACCAAAGAGAAAGAAGAAGAAAATTAGCGTGGTTTTGAAATTCACAGAAGCGTCATCGTTCATCTTGTTGATACGAAAACTGGGTCTTCGATAAAGTCGAAGACCGATTAAGAACTACGACTAGGTAGATAACCATTAAAACTATTGTCGTTTTGAGTCCTCAACTTCCTGTGATTTTTTTTTTCACTGATCATGTTCTTTTTGTGTGTTTGTGTATGTGATTGCTTCTTCATTATTATTTCTTTTGTATTTTCCTTTTCCTATTTTGTTTCATACAATATTATCTGTGGTGGAAATTGTGGTGTTTGATTTGTTCAGTCTGAGGTTAAGGTTGTTGGGTTTTAGATTGATTTAATATTTTTTTTAATGGATTGATGTTGTGAAAATGCATCATCTCGGCAAACACAGCAGCACTGTCACTTTTTTTATTCATTTTTGGGAATAAGCTTCTGGTGAGTGATTGACTGGGATTATAATGAAAATTAAGAATAATGACTACATGTTCTGTTTATATTTGAGGAAAACTTTGATTAAAGGAAGAGTTCATTGTTTTGGATTGGAGTTATTAATTTACCTTTTTGCTTCTTCTTTTTTTCCATCCGAAAGAAAAGAAACAACAAAATTGTCAGTTTTTGGCTCGGAATTCATTGTTTGGCTTATACGTGGTTAGATGAATGAAATCTGACAAGGTTTTGAACTGACAGGGGTCTGTTTCCATTAGCTGTAGAAGCAATTAATGGGAAGTAGAGGCCAAAAGCGTCCTGACATGGTGGATGAACTGCCTGCTGATAAGCGTGCCTGCAGTTCATTGGATTTTAGACCGAGTTCTTCAAACTCATCAGTTCAAACTCACATGAATTCGATAACGGAGACACATGATCATGAAATGGACACATCCTCGTCTGCTTCAGCTTCAAGCCAATCAGAGGGAGAGCAGGAGAAGGATTCAACTTATGGATCTTGTGATTCTGATGACATGGAGCATCATCATCATAGCACTCTCTATGAGTATCATAGACGGAGACTATCCAGTGATCATGGAAAATTTAAGAACATTATTTGTAGCTTGAGTGAACGGACTGGACCCTCCTGTCAATTAGCTGTACTCACAGAACTTTGTGAAGTTTTGTCATTTTGTACAGAGGGTTCACTCTCCAGCATGACTTCTGACTTGTTATCACCACTACTTGTAAAGCTTGCAAAGGATGAGAAGAACCCCGATATCATGTTGTTCTCTATAAGGGCAATAACCTATATATGTGATTTGTATCCTCGATCAGCTGGTTTTCTTGTTCAACATGATGCTGTTCCTACCTTATGTCAACGATTATTTGCTATTGAGTATCAAGATGTAGCTGAACAGGTAATTGTAGATTGCTTCTTTGTTTTTTCCTCCATATTATATTTTTTTGTAAAATGAAAGGTATATAACTTATTGATGTTGAAATCATGAAGTGTCTCCAAGCATTGGAAAAAATATCGCGAGAGCAACCCCTTGCTTGCTTAGAGGCCGGGGCAATTATGGCTGTTCTCAACTACATTGACTTCTTCTCAACAAGCATCCAGGTAAGGCTCCAATATAATAGAGTGTCAGTAACGAACGACCATTTTTTCTTGTTATCCTTAAAATCCACTATTTTATTATTTTAAGTTCATAGAGGAGTGATCTTTGTACTGATTTTCTTATTCTCCCTCCCCTTTCACCAGAGAGTAGCTCTTTCTACTGTGGTGAACATATGTAAGAAGCTTCCTTCTGAAAGTCCTTCACCTTTCATGGAGGCTGTTCCTATATTGTGCAATCTTCTTCAGTATGAGGATCGGCAGGTACCAATTAGTGGATTTAAAATGATTGTAAACCAGATTTGTAACTTTTTCATTCTATTGTAGTTTCATCTACCTTTTTGTAATATTTACTGACCAGCAACTGTATATGCAGCTTGTCGAAAATGTTGCTACCTGCTTAATCAAGATTGTAGAGCGAATTGCCCAGTCCTCAGAAATGTTGGATGAACTTTGTAAGCATGGATTGATTCAACAGGTCACACATCTCTTAAGTTCAAATGGTCAGACAGCCGTATCGCAATTAATTTACAATGTAAGCAATATTTTGTCTGTCATATCCATATCTTTAAACTTTTTTTTTCTTATAAGCTAAGTTTATGTAAATCTATTATTTGTTTGGCAGGGATTGATAGGGTTACTTGTCAAACTTTCTTCTGGATCACTTGTAGCCTTCAGAACTTTATATGAACTCAATATAAGCAGTATATTGAGAGATATATTATCAACATCTGACCTCTCACATGGAGTATCAACATCACAGCTTATTGGTGGACACTGTAATCGGGTATGTGGCTTAAGTTTAACCATGTTGTCTTTAATGCAGCAACACTTTTTGATTAATTTTCTATTTTCAAATTAGAAATATAGATATCTAATTTGTTTGAGATGAATTTGATCAGTGGTATTTTTTTATATTAATAATAATAACAAATGACCCAATTCTTTAGGATAAGTTATTATATGAATGTGATATAACTTTTACAAGCTATTTTTTGACCGTTTTAAAATAAAACAAAAATAATTTTTTTTCCTTCAATAACAACTGATTATAAGTTTTTACTACTAGACCTAGGTGTAATAAATATTTAGAGTTACATTTGTTAAATCTTTTCTTCTTGCTTCTTAAGTAATTTTATTCTGAAATGCATGTCTCTTTTAATGGAATAGTTGTGCTTGATATGAGAATATTTTAATAAATAAGCTGTGTGAAAGGTGTGTCATATTGTTTTCTGATTTGCTAGGTATATGAAGTACTTAAACTACTAAACGGGCTTCTCCCTGACCAGACTAAAGATCAGAATGATCAACTGTTGCTAGACAAAGAATCCTTTCTAGAGAGTCACCCAGATCTTCTGCAAAGGCTCGGAATGGATGTATTTCCCATGTTAATTCAGGTTGGCCGACTTTCTTGTAATTAACTAAATACCTTTTCTTTTTTATTACATTGCAATACATACCTCATCTTTGTTCAGGTATTCAATTGTGGTGCGAGTTTGTATGTTTGCCACGGATGTCTCTCTGTTATGTACAAGATAGTTAATTCAAGCAAATCTGACATGCTTGTTGAATTGCTAAAAAATGTCAATATTTCAAGGTGAAGTAGACCTTATCCTCAGTGTTGTATTATTCTAATAATTTTGTTAAATATATTCATGTTCATTTTATCTGGTTAACATGACAGTTTTTTGGCTGGGGTATTCACTCGAAAGGATCATCACATGTTAATGTTAGCATTGCAAGTTGCTGAGATAATCCTTACAAATTTTTCAGATAATTTCTTGAAGTTATTTGTAAAGGAAGGAGTCTTTTTTGCCATTGATGCACTACTAATGCCAGAAAAATCTTCAAAATTGATGTATCCGGTGTTTAGTGGCATTCAGCTGTCATTGGACTCTAGTCAAAAGTCTGCCTCAAGAGAGTCCCTCAAGTGCCTATGTTATGCATTTTCAACTGGCCAATCTCCTACATCATCCGAAGCCAAAAATTGCAAGCTTGACAAAGACTCTGTTTATAATCTTGCTGAACATATAAAAACAAAATACTTAGCTCCAGAATTATTTGATTCTGAGGAAGGATTGACTGATATTTTACAGAATCTCAGAGCACTGTCTAGTAATTTATTGAGCATGTCTACTGACAATGGTGCTCTTGCTCTTCATGAAGAGAACATCAATAGTGTATTATATCAAATTATGGACAAACTTACTGGCAAGGAACAAGTTTCTACTTTTGAATTTATTGAAAGTGGAGTTGTGAAATCACTTGTTAGTTATTTATCTCAGGGTCAGTATATGAGGGAAAACAAAGGAGTACTGGGTGTTTGTACTTATAATGCTGTCATAGAAAAACGGTTTGAGGTTTTGGCTAGTGTATGCTTATGTGCTTCTCAGTTTTTCTCTGGTGAAACAACCCTTTCTATATTAATCAAGAACTTGCAGACTGCACTAACATCATTGGAAGCTTTTCCTATTATTCTGAGCAGTGGACCAAAACTGAGAAATTCATTTGCTACTGTTCCTAACAGGTGTTCCATTCCTTACCCTTGTCTGAAAGTACAGTTTGTCAGGGGGGAGGGAGAGACTCTCCTGAATGACTACACTGAGGATTTTCATACTGTTGATCCTTTTTCTTGTATGCATTCAATTGAAGGCTATCTGTGGCCCAAAGTCAGTTCAAAAAGCACAGAGCATTGCAGATCAGCTTCAATCCAAACAGTGTTACAACCTGACAGTCCTCCGATTCAATCACCATATGCGATTTCAGTTCCAGCTGACATTCCTGTTACTTTAGGATCTGATGACATGATAACAGATCTCCCTGCTACACAGGTGATTCTTGTAAATATGCTTATTGTGAATACGGACTTTTTCCCAATTTAGATTGTTTTTCTCAACTATGTCATTTTGTAGAAGGACAAATCAAAGTTGTCACAGCCTAGATCTGATCAAACAGTCAGTATGAATGCTGTTGAATCCTCCTCCTCTGGAACTCAGGTTGTAAAGATCATGCATAAGAGTCTTGTTTGTTATTTGTGTCAAACTAAGTTTTAACTTTGCGTAATTGTTCATGACATTTAAGTTTGACTTGTTTTCTAAATAGAGTCATATTACAGTTTTTAAATATTTTACTCAATCATAACTTATATTTTCTGATTACTCAAATATAACTATTAGTTTATTGTGATATTAATGTTTTCATATTTGATATTTGTGTATCTCATTTGCAAAAGATTTTTTACTAATATTCTTAAATTCTCTGTTATCTTGATAATGAACATATATTTTCACTTCTGAATGTCTTCAACTTTTTCTGTCCTTATTATCAGGGTTATGCAGTTCAGGAAATGCAAATGAATGAAGAACCAAACCCAAAACTAGAAAAAGAGGATCCTGCATCTGGTGGGAACGAAGCTATTCAAAAGCTTGTCTTTTACATTGAAGGACAACATCTTGATCACAAATTGACTCTATATCAGGCAGTTCTTCGCCATATAATAAAACAAAATGATTCTTTTTCTAGTGCAAAACTGTGGAGTCAAGTGCATACAATAACCTACAGAAAGGCTGTAGAATCTGAGGACATAATACCTCCACAATATAATATTTCACCTCAGGATTTCTCTGAAGATAATGTTTTATCTTATTATCAACAAACTCCTTTTTTCTCAGACATACTCTCTTGTGATCTTGTTTCTGATCTGGAGAAGTCAAGTCCAACTTATGATATTTTGTTTCTTCTTAAATGTTTGGAAAGCATGAACAGAATTGTATTTCACCTTATGTCTCGTGAAAGAATCTGTGCTTTTGCCAAAGGAAAAGTTGACAATCTGGATAGCTTAAAAATAACAGTTCCTTCTGTCCCACAAAATGAGTTCGTAAGCTGTAAATTAACTGAGAAGCTAGAGCAACAGATGAGAGATTCTTTGGCTGTCTCCATTGGTAGTATGCCGTTGTGGTGTAACCAATTAATGGCTTCATGTCCTTTCTTATTTAGTTTTGAGGCTAGATGCAAGTATTTCAAATTAGAAGCATTTGGTCAGCCACAAGTCCAACCTCGCTTGTCTCACAATGGTTCAGGAACAGTGGGTGATAGGCGACTGGGCCTTGGTGGGCCTAGAAAGAAATTTTTAGTTCATCGCAATCGGATTTTGGAATCTGCTGCACAAATGATGGAGCTGCATGCCAGTCACAAAGTTGTTCTTGAAGTGGAATATGATGAAGAAGTGGGCACCGGTCTTGGACCAACTTTGGAATTTTATACCTTGGTGTGCCATGAATTCCAAAAATCTGGCCTGGGCATGTGGAGAGAAGACGCTTCTTTCTGTTATGGACTCTTTCCCCGTCCATGGTCATCAATGCAAGATACATCTGGTGACATTCAATTCTCTGAAGTAACAAAGAAATTCTTTCTTCTGGGTCAAGTTGTTGCTAAAGCTCTTCAGGATGGAAGGATCTTAGATCTCCACTTCTCTAAAGCTTTCTATAAACTTATCCTTGGAAAGGTAATCTATAGTACAATCAGTTAATATCACATGAGCTTCCAACCAAGTAAACATACTCTAAGATTTATAACTGTGGTCGTTATGACTGATTTAATTACTCTTCATGTTTGTTACATGTGTCCTTAGGAACTTTCTCTCTATGACATACTATCCTTTGATCCGAAGTTTGGTAAGCTGCTGCAAGAGTTTCAAGCACTAGTTATCAGGAAAAAAATTATGGAATCTGTCAATAGAGGGAATTTGGAGTCACAATATGGACCAAGTTTCCGAGATACAAGAATTGAAGATCTTTGTCTTGATTTTACTCTTCCTGGATATCCTGATATTGTTCTTACGTCAGGGACCGATCATTCCATGGTAGGTCATTACTCAATATTTTGTTATTCTATTTACACTTTAATAATCTTTTCCAATGACTGAACATGAACTTTAAGTATTTATACTTTTTTTTTGTAGGTAAATATGAGAAATCTAGAGGATTATGTTTTACTCATTGTTGATGCAACTGTGAGGTCTGGAATTTCAAGACAAGTGGAAGCTTTTAAATCTGGCTTTAACCAGGTCTCTCATTTTGGCTTAATGATAATCAAATTACTATTTAGCAGCTTCTATTTTTTTTAAATGACTTCAAACAAGATCCATTTTTCTGTTTGGTTTTATTATAGTCAGTGCTCTTTAAAAGTTGGAGAGAACTACATCAAGAGGAGAAAGACGACCCAAAAGAATTAGTGTTTGATAAACAAAATTAACTATGCTTGAGGGTAACCTCTTTAAACAAGAAGAATATGAATACTGGCTCTTTATGTTTCAAAGAGTCTCAAAATGAGATTCAGTTTGTGAACTAGATGATTTCCCACAAATAAAGTTAAGGAGTCTGAATAAGTTTCAGAGCTGAAAAGTATAGAAATGAGAGAAAATATGTATTGAGAGAAAAATTAAGGCATGCAGTAGAATAATTAAGTCATACCAAGGATTCAAACATCATTTTTTTTCTTTTGTTATTTGATAATTTCATCAAAAGATTGATCATTTTCAGTTGTCTATTTTTGACATAGTACAACATTATTTTTTACTCAGAAAGTGGATAAAAGCTTCTAAAAAAACCTAGTTACAGCATATCATACAGATTTTCTCTTCCCTTTTTTGTCATGTGCTCTCAATCAATTTAATTGATAAGGTGCCTAAGCTTCCATATATTTTAAATCAGTCTAAATATGAATGTCAGAGGTCTAACATGGCTGTGGAACTCTCATTTCGTGTGTATGATTATGGTATGAATATTTTTTTGCACTTCTTGTTGCCGCTTATTTTCATTGTGCTTTCAAATGCCAAAATGTCTAGCAAATTTGAACTGGATTCATCTAGGTACACCCAACATGTCAATTTGTTTTCATCCTAAAATGGGGGGAGGAAGGGGGCTTGGGTTGAGAATGAGAGAAGTCTGATGCTCAAGACTCCCGAACCAAATATTTGGACTAATACACTCCTTACATGTGAATAGGTTGTGTCTTGAAATTCTGCGTCATTTTTTATTTGTGTTTTTATGGTAGGACCTCAAGATCATAGTGAATATGAAGTTTTCTTTAGGAGTTACTACTACTTGAAATTTTCTGCTACACAGTTGAGATTCTTATATATATTATTTTTTCAAATTTGTTTTTTACTTCTAGGTTTTCTCCATTGAGCATCTTCGGATTTTCAATGAAGAAGAACTTGAGCGAATGCTTTGCGGAGAGAATGACTCTTGGGCTGTGAGTACAATTTCATTCTTTTAATCATTTTGTATATATGTCCTTTTCTTTTTGAGAAGAGAGGAAGACCAATTAAGCTTAATTCCTTGTTAAAACAGATCAACGAGCTTGGAGATAACATCAAGTTTGATCATGGGTACACTGCTAGCAGTCCTCCCATTGTTAATGTAAGCATTCATGTACATAAGCTACAACATTTTTTGGTGTTTTAACCTGAATCTCGTGATTTTATTAATCATCTACTACTGTGGATTCAGTTGTTGGAGATTGTCCGAGAGTTTGATCATGAACAGCGGCGAGCATTTCTGCAGTTTGTGACTGGTGCACCTCGACTTCCTCCAGGAGGGTTGGCATCTCTTAATCCGAAGTTAACTATTGTCCGAAAGGTTCACTGTTTACATACTTATATGTTCAGTGCAGTTTTTTAAGCTTAAAAATTACATATTTTGCGTTAGCCTACTTATACTCGTGATTTAACAGCATTGTAACAACCGGGCAGACACAGATCTACCTAGCGTGATGACTTGTGCTAATTATCTCAAGCTACCTCCGTACTCATCAAAAGTAACTCACCAATCTATACTATTCAAACTTCATTAGTACCAATCTATACTATTCAAACTTCATTAGTAAAACACGAAAAAGAAGTTTTAGAAACTGTTTTTCTTACCTTTGGGCCTAAATATTGTTTGGCACTTTGTTGAATTTCAGGAAAGGATGAAAGAAAAGTTGTTGTATGCCATAACAGAGGGTCAAGGATCTTTCCACCTTTCGTAATTTCAGTATCTTGAATGGTCCGTATTTGAGTTATGAAAATGTAATTATTAGGGTAGCAGTGTAGATAAGGGTGCTAGTGGGTTGCTGGCAGTGGTCTCAAGTAGTTTATAGCAGTGGGAGATGAAGGTACTGTTTTCACTGACTACATTGTTGGGGGTGTGTACATAGCACGCTGATAATTTAGTTGATTGACTAGTATCAGCTGTACAGAAACGAAGGAGGACACTTTCAAGGGTCAGGCATGATATTTGATGTACAGTATTTGTACAGGAACGTTAACCATTAATATTTTAGTCTATTATGCAAAATTATGGTAGTTCTTTCTTATCTTTGCTTCTTTATGCATCTACTATTATTGTTGTTTTTCCTTGTAGTTGCTCTGCTCACTGCTTCATAACTTTTTATCTTGACATTTAAAGTTTGCACTCTGATCGTAGTTTAGGTCACTCGAGTCTCTAATCTGAAGGGCAGTGGTTGTAAACTACATGTAAAGTAGGCTATGGTTTTAGGTTAGGGTGTTTCTTTTGTAAGAAAAGTTGTGGATAGCCTAACTGATATTCACCAATTCTGTAGGTGAGCCACAGACCTTTCTGACAATAGGTAAATTGCATAAGATAAATATACACTGTGGTTGTGGTTTAGGCCGATCCTCTGCATCATAAAAACTCTTTAAATTTAAGAGTATGTTTGAAGCATAATAGACAAGTTCAGATCACATTAGTCAGGTTCAATTCGTTATGATTTAGTGTAAACTGTTTATTTTATCTGAATTTATATTTTTTGAAAACTGAACTTTTCTAATAGAATTTTTTTTATTAATTAAATCTTGCCTGAGAGTCTTTGAAGGTAGATGAGTATTGGTAAACTGGTTTAGGTGGTAAGACCAGTAAGTGGCAATAAAACATGTGGTATTCCCGAGCATCTTAGACCTTGGCCTTAGGATGACGAAATTAATAAAATTTTTATCTAAAAGAAAAGAAAAGTTGGAAGCAAATAAGAATACAAAAGTAACATGAACATAATACACCATGAATTAATTATTCCCGAAATAGAAAATCAACTTAATAAATGGACTCCTTCAAAACTCAAAATATCAACTATTTATAAAACAAATTGGAAAGACATGTTTAAATCTAAATATATAGTAAAAAAAAAGTAGATAAAAAAATAGAACTTCAAGTCATGAGAAAATTCTATTAATAACAAAAACCCTAATCGTTGAACATATAAAAGGATATAGATATCTTCATATAGGATCTATACAAATAGTCATAAAACATCTTTTTAGAAAAGGAATAGATACACAAATGTTCGTAGCCCTAAGAGATAATAAATTAGTAAAACTTGAAAATCAAATATTAGCAATGTTTGAAACAAATCTTCATAATGGACTAGTATATATAAATAATTACCCAAATTATTCGATAGCTCTTAAAAGTCTTCATAATACGAAAAATAATATACTACTAGATATCAAAATTTCAGAAAATGTATGGAATCCAAAATCAATACCTATAGCTATAATATATAGGATTTATTATAAAATAATGAAAACTCAATTGGCACCTAGAGCCTTATTAATGTCCCCAAAAGATGAAACAATCATGTTATTAGTAAACCCAAAAAAGGTTAATGTAGTAATACCAAAAACCTTAAAACATACTGAAATATCTAATGGCCTTAGCTGGAGACTAGAAGACCTATTAGAACCATAACCCCTAGAACCAGTAGAAGTTGAAAATATAACTGAATATAAATCAGGAACAGTAGAAGTATCATTTGCCCCGATCAGAAGAGAAAATTCATTAAGAGGAACATCCAGTAGAAATACTTTTGTAACAGCCAGAAAATCATAGAAGTTTAAAATTAAAAGGAATAAAACAAGACCCCACAATTCCACTGCCAGAATACGAATACAAAAATATAGAAACTCATAATTCTCCTTCTGCTTCTGAATTACATCAAGATGATAGTATAATAAATGTAATAACCAAATTCGAAATAAACAAAGACCTTTTAAGACAATAATTTCTAGATGAAAAGAATCAAGAAAAGAGAGAATGGTTTTTTAAGACTTTTAGTCAAAATGAATTAAAAGAATACCGAGAAAAATATTATAATCACTTAAAATTAATTCAAGAAAATATACTGTATTTTAAATGGTTTGAAGATAATTATTTAGAAAATTTACAAATAAATGTATTACAAAATGCTGAAAAAATATGGAAAACAAAAAATAAAGAGATAATTAGTAAAATCCCTCATCTAGAAGAAGTAAGATTTCCTAACATTGAAAATAAAGAAGTAATTGCATCACCCTTTAAAATGATAGGAGAAAAAAAGGAATACCAGTGAAACCCCTAACATAAATGATATTCAAAATCTGCATAATCGGCTAAATTTTACAAATCAAATATTATACCAAATAGTTCAAAAAACTATGGAAGAAGAAAATTTACAAAACAATAAAAATCCATTAGGAATAACTTACCTACAAAAATCTTTAATAAACCCTATAAGATTATCCGATAAAGAATATAAAGAATTTAAGATAGGAAATCAATAAGGTATAATATTAGAAGAAATAAATAAAAAATTAGAGCAATTAAATATAAGAAAATTAAATGTTATAGATATCCCAGAAGAAGAACTAGGAAACTTAGAAAATATAGATTATGAAGAAAAGATAAATAGAATAGGAAGTAAATTTAATGTAAATTCAACCACTAAAAATTACTATAGAAGATCAACCCTACCAGATATACAATTTGAAGAATGGAATTTAGAAAGTCCATCCACTTTTAATGGAACAGGAATAACTGAATGGAATATAGATGAATTAACTGATTATCAATTATTAAGAAAAACTAATGAAATGGTGATAGCTGCCTCAGCCTATAGAGCAAAAAATTCAGAAGAACAAACGATACAATTATTAATCCTAGGATTTACCAGATCCTTAAAAGGATGGTGGGAAAATTACCTATCCGCATACCAAAGACGATTTATTTTAACAGTAGTAAAACAAGAAGGAAATACACAAATACCCTTGATGGTCGAAACATTAATAATATCAATTATCCATAATTTTATGGGCGATTCTAACACATTTGAAGAAAAAACTAGTACCCTGCTACATAATCTAAGATGTCTCACTCTAGAAGACTTCAGATGATATGTAGATAATTTCATACTCGTGGTAATGACTAGAACAAAATGTAAAGAAACATTTTGGAAAGAACGATTTATTGTTGGATTACCCCAGTATTTGCAATAAAAGTACGAGAAAAATTATCCCAAAAATACCCCGAACCTTTGCAAGATATAACCTATGGAAAAATAATTTCAACTATTAAGAATACTGCCTTGGAAATATGTAATAACCTAAAGTTGGAAAAATAGGTTAAAAGACAACAAGAAAGTGGTACAAAAGAATTAAGAGATTTCTGCATTTAACATGGATATGAAAAGTTAGACCCTCCTTCTAGAAAAAATAAGCAAAAACAAATAATCAAAAGAAAATTTTCTCACAATAACAATAGGAAAATCTCTAGAAACTTTAAAAGTAAAATAAGAACAAAACCTCCTATAAGTAGTAATCAACTTAATTCAAAGAAAGGAATAGTTTGTTATAAATGTGGAAGATACGAACATATGAAAAAAGTTTGTAGAGTCTGAGAAAAAATACAAAACCTAGATATGAGTGAAGAAGTAAAAAATCAAATAGCAAAAATATTATTATACGAATTAGAAGATATAAATAATTTAATAGAAACTAGTAGTAGTAAAGATGAAAATATCACTAACCCCAGTGAAAATAAGAATGAAGAAAATTGTGATTGCATATTTAACATTAATGTTTTAACCACCGAAACCATGATAGCCTTAGAAATAGTAGATAAACTTCCAAATGAAGAAGATAAGTTAGAATATTTAACTAAATTAAAAACTTTAATACTAAATGAAAGAGATGTGGAAACTTCATCAACAAAAGTAAGTGGTTATTATTTCTCAAAAATATTAAAAAAGACAATAAATAAAGAAAAACCAGTAAATTTGCAAGATTTGCAAAAAGAAATAAGTTTTTTAAAAGAAGAAATAAAAGAAATTAAAAATCAATTAATAGAATTAAAAATAAAAAATGAAATACAAGAAGAAAAAATGAATATTATAAATAATAAATTCATCCTAAATGATGTAGCAACTTCTGAAAAGGTTAATCAACTAAAGATTTTACAACAAAAATGACATATAAAAGCTATACTTAAAATTGGAAATAATTTTCATAAATAATTTACAGCTTTGGTAGACTCTAGAGCTATATAAATTGTATACAAGAAGGACTAATACCTACTAAATGCTATGAAAAAACTTTACAAACTTTAAGAACCGCTAATTCTAAAAAATTAAAGGTAAAATATAAAATGTCAAACGTCAGTATATGCAATAAAGGAACCTGTTTTAAGAATACTTTTATATTAACCCTCGATATTAGTAAAGAAATGATTCTAGGAACCTCATTCCTAGCGTTAATATACCCTTTTGAAGTATCCGAAAATGGAATAAGAAATAAAAATATTTTATTCAAATTTATTAAACCAATAAAAAATTAAAGAAATACAATTAGTTACCGAAGTAAATGAAGAAAACTTTCTATTAAAAATAGAAGCCAAAAATAGGCATATAAAATATTTAAAACAAGAAATTACATATATACAAAAGAATTGAAGAACAATTAAAAAATCCTACAGTAATAGCAACCTTCAAAAAAATAATAGAAGAAATCATAAAAGAAGTATGTACAGAGGTCCCTACAACTTTTTGGAATAGAAACACTTTTGAAATAGAATTATCATACGAAGAAGGATTTTCGGAAAAGAATATACCTACCAAAGCAAGACTTGTACAACTAAATAAAGAAACAATAGAATATTGTAGAAAAGAAATAAAATCTTTTTAGACAAAAAACTTATTAGACCTAGTAAATCTCCATAGAATTG